CACTTTTTTTATGAGCCAAAGTCTAAATTGCTTAGGGCCTCAACAAGTTGCTGAGGCTGGCCTCAAACTTGTGGTCCTCCTGCCTTAGCCTCCCGAGTCACTGGGATTAGAGCGGTGTACCACCACACCTGGCTCAATTCATCTTTCTAGGGACTTGTTTATTGCACATAAGCAATAACTTAAAAGTCTCAGCCATAATCTTATAAACACTGACTCTTCTCCAATACATTTTCTCTCTCTAGATCTGTTTGTTCATACTCTGTTTCAGGTCTTAATCTCTGTCTTATTTTCAGTATCTCGCTATGCTGCCTACTCAGTAATTTTCTCAGAACTCCATTTGAGGTCAATTAATTCTCTCTGTGTCTAATGGGTTGTAAATTTCAATGACTATTATTTTGATTACCAGAAATTCTTTCTACTTCTTTTGAAACTCTCCGATCTCATTCTTGATTCTGAACTGCTCCTTTACCCTCACCACTTGAACCTCCCATCCCAGGCCCTTCCATCTCTGTTGGGGCATTCCAAGCCCCTGACGACAGCGCAAAGCGGCAGCCAGGTCTTGTCCTTGGGCACTCCTCGTCGGCTTGCTGGGCACTCTCTCATGAGCTGCATCTGTGATAGGGACCATGCGTTTTTCAGGGAAAAGTTCTCAAAGGCTGGCCAGTCACCTACCAGCGTCCCCAAGACCTTCTCTAGTAGTGTGTGAGAACAAAACCATTTCCATGACAAAACTAGGATGTTGGCATTGTTAGCACCTGCTCTGAGGACACAAGCCTTGTGAGTCAGCTGGCAGGAATGCATGCAGCACCACAAACTCATGCCAGGCCACAATCATTCCTAATGCCACGTGCCACAGTTTAAGACAAAAGGCAGCTTCCTTTAAGAATGTCCTTGATGAAGTAGGAACTTAAACACTGCAGTCAAATCCAGTCTAATCATGCTATTAACATGAGCTTAGTCCCGCTCTTGAGGAGACAGCTGTCCGACACTCCATGGGGCAGGACAGGAAGGCTATGTGACACCCCATGGTGCCTAATGAGCAACACCACTACCTCCCAAGGCAGATCTCGGTGTGGCAGTTTCTGTGTGAGCCAGACTGAACACCTACTTCAAAAAACAACATTTTTACTTAAAGGACAAGCACGTGAGACAAACTGGTTATTAAAATTTGAGTCTCCAGCAGACATTTCCTCAAAAATGAACTCAGCCTCTTGTTTCAAGAAAACAATGGGTAGTTACTATTGTCCACTATGGTATCTGAGCTTTTAAGACAGAACCTGAATTATGGAAGACTTTCATTCCCACCGTGGCTGGTGGCTTCAGCTTCTCCATGAGATTGCTGGGAATGTCGTAATGCCAGTGAACGTGAAGCTGTGACATTGTAGGACAACACAACCAAGTTTGGATACCAACCCATGACAGCCTTGAGCAACCCTGCATTAGCACACCGCCCAGTGTTTCCCATCCAACTGTGTGTGAGGTTCCAGAGCCACACGTGGGTAAAAGCCACAAAGTGCAACAGCCGCCACCAGACAGACGTTCACATGTGTGTGAGGTGCAGCGGACTTCAGAAACCTCAAATATTGAGTTATGATAGAGTATTAAAGAAAAAGTCCACAATTACCTGGAAAAGATATTAAACGCTCCCTTTTCCAACCACATACCTTTGTATGGCTGAAGTTTGTTCATGTCCTTCAACCCCCGCCAAAAAAATTACAATATATTGACTACACCAACATAAATGATTGTTTTGTCTTCTATTAAGTTAGATACTAAGGAAATTTACAAAATGGTGAAGGGGAGCCTTTCTCACCACTAAATATTTTTGTTATAGAAAATATTAATTCATTATAGAAATAATATCATAAAATAATAGCATACCCTGGGTTAGCCATAATTAATTTCAAACAAGTTACTAAATACTTTTAAATTGTTTGTATTCAGGAGAACTGGTGGGTAGCTCTTTGGTTCTTCAGTGATTTTTAAGAATGTCAAGGGGTCCTGAAACACTGACCTGGTTTGCCCACTGCAGGACCATCTGCTTTGGCTCTGGACAGCACCTCCACTTCCCTGGGCAGGGCCAGCTTGTCCCATATTTCACAGGCTGCCAGCACSGGAGACCTAACCCTGCATCTGATGCCTCCAATGCACCAGCCACCAGGGAGGCTCCCCACTCTTCCTTTCTCGGGGATTGGCCCTGGTGGCTGAGGAGTCCATTCCTTCCTGGAGGGCCTGCCCTGGTGGCTGAAGAGTCCATTTCTTCATGGACAGCCTCCCCTGGTGGCGAGGAGTCCAGCAATGCATTTAAACACCTTCGGTTCACAGTGGCCCAGCGTCACAGGGCCTTTGCTGCAGAGTGGTGTGGGCCTCCCCAGGCTGCATGTGGGTGTTCATCTGCCAGCCATCTCTCCCAGCCCATCCCAGTGGTGCTGGGCTCCCCAGGACAGCAAGGCAGTGCTGTCACACTCACCAAACGAGCCCAGCTCCTCTACAGGAAGATGCTCACCATACTCTGGCCAAGTCAACAGAGTTAACTGGTCAATTACCATAACATCGTGGAATACAGCATGTCAGAATGAGACTCCCAGGTGAATCACAAGCATAGTGACCACTGTCCAGTATGTCAGAAGGTAAAATAGACAGGTGATTTGTGCCTCTGGAACCCACTCTGCAAAATGGAACGCATGCAACCTACTTCAACTTAGAAAGGCCCCGGTCAGAGTAGAACACAGACCCCTGGCTAAAGGGTCAGAACGTGGGCTCTCACGCAAGCCCGACCACCTTGGGCTGGTGGTTCCAGCTCCCTTGGCATTGGTGTGCAGGTGTCACCTCAGATCTGTCATGAGATTCAGCACCAACTCCAGGAAGCACCATCATGCAGGAGGCACAATCAGTTGCCACTCCACACCCACTGTTACTGCCCACCACTCACAACACCTATGGCCCCAGACATTCGTGTGCAGTTCTCACTCCTCAGGAGGAAAGCCCAGCACCCAGTTTCAGTGCAGTGGCTCCACTGCAGTCTCTTTGCAATGGTATAGATGGTTGGCACACCTTGACCAGGAGCCTGACCTTGGCAAGCAGCTGGGAACACTGGTGAGAGTCAGCACCAAACAGAACCAAGACAGAGTTTTCCCCTCATACTTCTAATCAGAGTGATGATGAGCAGAGACACCTGCTTAAGCAGCTCTAAGCAGCAGCAGCTGAGGCCCAGGAGGCTGGAAGCAGGAAAAAGAAAAGGGACAAGAGTGGCCCGGGACCATGGACAGAGGCACTGGACCCTCAGGGGCTGACACTCTGGTTCACACAAGCTGGAATTTTAACTAGCTCTTATCCTCACACATACCTAACCCTAAAATAATGCCAGCCCTTGCCTGCAACCCCAACAGTGCCTGGGAGGGGCTGACGCTGGTCACGGGGCAACCTCAGCCCTAAGAATCAAAGCAGTGCCCCCGTCCCTGGACAATGTCACTGACATCACTCAACTGCAGCTCAGGGGAGGCTCACAGGAATCAAGTGTGACCACAAAAAAGAGAGACGACAGCTCCCCTGGGCTGCCACAGGGTGAGTGTGCACCGAGAAGTGCCAGCCTCTGCCGTCAGCCTGTCCATAAGCCCTGTCCTCAGCAACAAGCTCAGGGGAAAAGGAAAGCCAGCATCGACCGACCGTGTTGTACAGCTGATCTTATTTACAAACACCAGCCAGATAATCCTGTTTTTAAATGGCACAAGTTCCATCACTTCCAACCAGAGAAGCGACAGTGGGAATTGATAGTCTTACATCATGATTCAATCCCTCTTCTAAGGGGAGAGCCTTAAGTTCTAGAGGGAAAGATAAAAAATAAGAAAACCCTAACAAAGCACAGACATGAAAAATTGACACTTGGGCCAAAATACATCTCTAGCGGGCACATTTTTCTTTACAAGAAACAGAAGAAGTCACGATCACATCCCGATTAGCGGGAGATGCGGGGCTTCCACTCTTCACTTACATGAGGGATTTGAATTTCTCTCGCGTTTCCTCAGTTATCAAAAGCAATACAGACCCAGTTTTCCTCAATGCAACCAACGTGGCTCATTTTTTAAAATTATCCTTCATACTGAACTTCATAAAATCTTGTTTTGACCCTGGCAGATCCAGCAGCAGAGCTGAGACCTCTTTAACAAGGGGTACCAGGCACGGCTATGGTGACAACAGTACAGGAAAAGCAAAATGAGCGCAGCCAGGCCCCGCCTCCCACCTGCTGGAGGAAGGCCCCGCCCTGCAGCTGGGAGGAACCCTTGCAGGGGCCTGGGCATCAGGGCTCCCACAGTGACCCTTGGGAGGAACATCTAGTCCTGCAAAAGCTTCCATCCACCACACCCTGCAGAGGCTTCCCCCCTATCTGACAAGTCCTTAGAGTCCCTTCCCCCCACATTCAGTCCTCAGCGGCCGTGCTTGCCACCTCCCCGTGCTGCAGCCCAGGGGGAGCTTCTTGCGGCCTCCTGGGTTTTCAGCACAACTCCCAGCACACGGCAGGGGTGCAGGAGACAACACCTCCACACGGCATGCTGGACCAGAGGCAGCCACAGTCCCCAACACTGGAGCCTGGCACCCAGCTGGTAGAACTAAGATGTGCTCGCGGGCCCAGGTACTACAGACATGAGCAGCACTGACCTTGACGCCCTTTAAAGGGCAATATCCTCCAAGCACTCTTGGCCACATGTGGTCCATGGCTCCTGGACCAATCTACATGCAGCTGGGGGCTGGCCTCTGTGGGCACAGGGTGAAACACCAGAAGCCACGGGGAGCAGACTGTACCACCTTCCCGCTGAAACCCTGAACAGGACATCATGACCACCCAGGGACACAAAGACAAGGCTCACACCCGTCACCTTGAGGAGGGCGGGCTGCTGCTCCAGATGCAGAAATGGAGGCTCCTGAAGCTAGTAAGACTCGGCTCAGATTGGGGAGCAGGCCTGTGGGCTGGACCCAACGCCCGCTGCCCTTGCCAGGCTCACCTGGATGCCGTCCAGCAGCTTGCTCATGCACCAGTAGGTGTCGGCCTCAATGTTGCGCAGCACTTCCTCAGGCACGCTGGAGACGTCCACCGCATCCACGTCCTCCTCTTCTGGACAGCACCAGCAGGGAAAGACAAGGTGCAATTAGCCACAGAAGTAAACAACACCGGGAGGTGGCGACGAGAGACCCCAGGCGCTGTCGACCCCCACCCACTCTTTCCCACCACCAACCAGCTTGTGGCGTCTCACACCTCATCACTTAATGCCTTCATTTTAATACCTAATTAGTGGCAGAAAATTATACTCTGAATCCTCTCCAATTAATTAACATAATTAATATATTGTATATTATTATTTCTCAGGCACTTCACATTCTGACCAGAATGAACCTAGAATATATTACTTACTCCTAACAGATCTGTAAGTTTCTCCATCAAATTTTTTGAACTCTGTAATATATTTACATATTCCTTGAGCAGTGATTCCTCTAAAAATCTGTTTCCAAGGTTAGAGTTTCCAAACTACACTGTGTAAATACTCCTGTAAGATCAAWCACCCCAGAAAGCAGTAACACAGATGTGCTTCAAAGAAATAACTGACAACATGCACTCAGAAGTCTCCTGAAAGTATAACACACCTAATGAGGAAACATAACTTAAAAGTTTTTAAAATGCAAAACAGATGCCTAATTGAAATGACTTATCAGATATTTGAACAACGTAATTTCAGACCCTTACAAAAACTGCTATCATCCAGCATAGCACTCGCAAATGTTTAAAATTGATGRATCCTATTATTTAATTTTCTTTCTTCTATTTTATTTGAAAATGTGCATGCATCYTTGCAAGGAACATGTTCTTTATGAAGGAAGGCAGGTTAGTCCAGATACATTCAGAAAGTCCTGAGCAGAGCAGACGTGCAGTCACAGCACGGACAACAGCAGCAACCTGCTGCATTCACATTCGTCATAGCCAGGCCCCCTTCCCTGTATTTCAAATATGATCACCCTTTACCTCTGTCACATCCCCACTTCCATCACACTACGGACAGGGAGGGAGTGGAGACAAAACAGCCCTGTGCCAGCAGCCTGTTTTTTTGCAGCATGGCTCCCAAGAAGGCCAGAGCTTCAACTCCTGTTCACCTGCTATCCACCCTTGACACCAACCTTCTTAATAGCAGCCTGCACAGTCCTAGCTCCCACCAAAAGCAAGTGAGCACACCACCTCCCTGCACAGTCCTAGCTCACACCAGCAGTAATTACACTGCCTCCCTGGTTCTTGGTTCACAGCAGAGATCAGAAAGCTACAAGGGAAGAGTGTTTCCGCAGCACTATCCAGTGGTGGGGGCTGACCTCGAGAGCTGGGACAAGACAATGACAGTCCTGGACAAACAGCCAGTGTGGGTCGGTGCCTACAATCCCACCATGCCTCTTTCTGAGGCAGTAAGAGGGTGTTTCTATATGGTTATGGGGCTTTTTAAACTGAAACATAATCCATATCCCATAAAGGTCAATCTTGGTAAGTTTACAAGCTAGGGGTCTCTAGCATATGCACAAAGTCACACAGTCACCACCAACAATTCCAGAGCCCTTTGATCACCCCAGTGAGAAGTCTTTGTCCCTCCCACAGTCCCTGGAAGCCATCACCCAAATTCCAGTTCTCTCTATGTGGGTGCAGCCACACGCTGGGTGGCCATGGGCACCTGGCTTCCCTCCCTCAGGACATGGTGCTCACAGTACACCATACAGCAGAGCAGACTCACAGCACGGACAACAGCAGCACATGCTGTATTCACTGAGTTGTTTTTTTTTTTTTTTTTTTCAGGATCTACAAATAATTTTATTGAAATTGAACAARTAACACAACAGTCTTCCTATGCTGGGGACCACCCTCCCCAAGCCATTTTCCACACTCTAGAAGCACAGATTTTGCACAATAAGAATTTTTTTAAAAAAGTAATTTCTATATAGAAATCAGACTCTGTCCCAACATCATCATAGACTAGACTATTTACAAACCTTCACATTTTAAGTATTCCTTTTATGTAAAACATAAACCCTTCCTTTTTGTGTCTACCAAGGGGATCCAGTACTTTCCCTTAAATGATACTGAAGGGGTGAGGATACTGTAGGGGAAGGGTGGTGGGCTCCTTAAAGCTATTCACACTAGCCCTAGTGTATTGTTCCTTACCACAGGGTAGTAGACAGTTCCCTCCCAAGTGGTGTGGAGGGCTGATACAAAGAATGGGTGGCTTGGGGCAACTCCCCATATGCACAGGCATCCACAGCCCATCCTGACCCTGGCCTGCACTCTCTCAAATAGGGGAAGGATAAACAATTAATTGCAGTGGGTAAGGATCARTCCAGCCCTGGRTGAAGGGAGAAGCCTCTCACAAYAGTCCCCATTTCTATTAACTGCCAGCAAACTGTCCATCTGAAAGTGGGAACAAATGGCAGGTAGGTGGGAAGAATCAGGCTGGTGCTGSCCCCAGCCTCTGTCCAATACAGGAGGAATCGAGGTAGCAAATGGCTGAAATGCTCCAACTAGGGGRTACGGAAAGTGAGGGGAAAGGAAGTTCTCTTTTGTGTAAAGCCCCCATAGCCCAGGGGCTGGAAGAAGGCAGACTTTATTTGTAAAGTGCTGTAGCTTCTAGCAGGGCTTGGCCCTGGGAAAGCTTGGAAGGAAGCAGGCCAGGCAAGGAACCAGGAACCAGGCATTCCTGACTGGCATATGCCCTGCCATGTTTCTTGCAGAGGTGGCTGGGGAGGGTGGGCTGGTAAATCTGCCATTAGCCTTCACCAGTCACTAACCACCTCCTGTCCACACACAAACCAATATACAATTAACACCGAGGGACTGCCCTGCTCACAGCCAAAGGTTCTGGGCCAGTGGAGTTTATTCAGGGTTGTGGCCTCGGCCTGGGCTCCTCAATGGAAACCACACCTCAAGTCTGGGAGTTTCTTGCTGAGGCAGACGGTGTTTGTGTATGCCATCTCCCAGGCTCACACCTCGTAGAGAATCACAGGGAAATCCACATGGAGGCGGGGAGGATCCAGCTTCACGAAGCCCTGAGGAATCAGATTCTTATGCACCCGCCTCAGTTTGGCCCGCTTCTGCCCATTCTTGGTGACGATTGTCTCTTCGTAGAACTCATGAGCCAGATCCCTATCCTCGTCATATTCACTGAGTTTTGAGATCCTCGAGAAGCCCACACACAAAGGGCAAAGCTAGCCTGGGACACCTGTGGCTCCAGCACCTCTATCCACCCTGGGCCATGCAGGGTTTCAGGCTCTTGCTCCAGCATGTGGGGACCGCTCTATCCACTGAGCTCCAGTCCTGCAGAGTCTGGCCTTGGAAGCCTGTGGGCCCAGGAGCCCAGCATCAGACCTGAGAACCACCCCCCCCCCGCCATAACAAACTCCCCAGAGACTTTCAGAAGGCGCTGCCTCCTGAACTCCTCAGGCTGCCAGGGTGGGGGTAGTCATCTCCACCTGGTGAAACACAGAATCCGGGCTCAGGAGCTCACCAACTGGCATAGTCCAACAGGGACAGCAGAAACAAGCTGGCTCCATCGTGTGCCATCCTGCTGAGAGAACTAGGAAGCCAAGGACACCACAATAGGCACAGCCTCCTCACACTGTGATTCTCCTGCTGGGAAAACAGCTTCAGCAGAACCAATTCCACATCCCGCCGGTTCAGAGAGGATCTGACTTTATCTCCCAGTCTCAGGGAACTGAATCAGCACCATCATCAGAGGACTTTTTTTGAGATGTTTTCCACCAACATGCTCTCACTTTCCAGGGCTTTACCAGCACAGGGGTGCTCTCCCGGCTACAAAAAAAGAGTGAACAGGCCCCCCCACCCCCCACCCCCCACCCCGGCCTCAGAAGCCTCACCTTGGTTCACAGGAGCAGCACGGCTGGTGCTGCAAGAGATAGGCAAAAGCCCCGATTCCTCTGTTCAGCCAACTTAGTACTTTACCCAAGGAAATGGGCAGCAGCCTGCTCTAGGTGTCAATTCTCACAATGGGCCCTTCATTCCTCTTTGATGCAATGAGAGAGCTCTTACGATGCTTCGTCTTCTAAACACCAAGAGAATCAGAACTGCCCTGACAGTTAGAATGAGATCAACCTCCCCTGGCCCAGGTCCAACAGGGCAGCCCCCTTCACTAGCCCAAGGCATTAAGAGCAGGCTAGGTCACTGTGGAAGCCCAGGCTATCATGGCCACTTCAGAGCACAGGGGTGGGGTGCAGAAATACCCCTGGGCTGGCAAGACCATCCAGGGCCCCCATACATGGCCCCACAGAGGACAGGACACTGGCAGTCCTGGGAGCATGGCTGGACAGAACCACAGGTGAGATTGGCAGGCTTGGGTCCCTTCCATCTCTGGGAAGCTGATATCAACTCACTTTCCACAAGGAACCACGGAAATGGCAGGAGGAATGTGTCCTCAAAATCAAGACACCAAAAAAGCCAAACAGTCAGAATAGATTTCCTAACTCAAGGCCACCTGACTCCAAAGATACACACTATCCACCAGGCATGTGCAGCCCAGGGGCAGRGAGAGGAGATGGGAGGAACCGGAACACGGAGCACCAGGGAGGCCCCACAGTCAGGGGCCAGAGGCAACTGGGTCAGGACATTTGTAGCTGGGCAGACACAACAATGTGGCTGGGTTCAGCTCCCAAATATGTCACACAAACAGGAAAGACAATACCATCAACATCAATGGAAAGACTTTACTAAGATCACAAATAACAGAGAGAAACACAGACACTGAGGAATTCCAAGACATCCCAGTTCAAAGAAAGAAACGTGACCCACAGGGGAAACTTATGAATACACAGGTAAAAAGGGTGAACGGGTCTGGTGGCCAGTGATGGAAAGTGGTGACCGTGTGCTCTGGGGCAGCACTGCCCTTGGCTCCTGGAGAACTAGGCTTACCTGTTTCTCACCTGAGCCATAAAGACTCTGCTCCACAAGCTGCCTCGAGGCGGTGGGTAGGACAGAAGGTAAATAAGCACATGCACTCCTGAGGGGGCTGGGGGGACACCCATAATCTCAACCTCCTCCCAGTCATTTTGACTGCCTGGCCCGGGGATGGGCTACCT